GATTTTTCTAGTGTAGATGAGAGTGTATTGAGAATCAGAAAAATCTACATCATGATCTAATCGGATGAAAGCTTTGCCCAATAAAAAATTTCATTGTTTCTTCTACGAAAAAATATTTAAAGTTTTATATGATGAAAAACTAGTTTCTCATTGAAAACTTGTTCATGGAACTTATTTTTTACTAGATGCGATAAAGAAAAGATAGATAGAGAAATATAGATTACTTTCAGATTCCAAACAATTATTGTGGCATTATAAAGAATCATTTTTAATTGTATGAAAGTAAATGTAAGTTTTGGTGTAATGCAGAATTAGTTTATCACTCGAAACTATTGGTAAGCATCATCCCATCACTGATTGTGCAAGAAGATTTCATTTTGAAATAAATATAACGAAAATCAAGATCAGTTTCAGATCGGACAAGATATTTTTGTGATTAAAAAATAAACAAATTGTTATTCCTTGAAAAGTATACGTAAACTTTCATAGTATGAAAACAACTGTTTCGCTTTAAATCCTTGAAAATCTTCTCCAAATGGTTATGTCTACGCACATTTTGATTAGAAAATAAAAGTTACGCAAACGTACATCATATTCACATCGAAGAAAGTAATGTTAAGATTAAGAAAAAAACATCTGTTTCATTCTTTTTGAAGTATGCGTAGGTTATCTTGCGATTAAAAGCCACTTATTCAACTATAACTTTTCGAATAGGTAGTCAAACGATGCAATTTTTACTAGTGTTTGATAGAAAAATAAATGATCAACAAATTTACGCTATTTTCAGATCAAACGATATACATCTGTGATAAAAAAAAGAAATTTGTTTTTTATTTTGTTATAAATGTATCTAGATTTTTGTATAAAGATAAGCGGTCTTTCTATAGAACGTTTTTGATCACATGATTCAGTTTATAGAATTTTAGCAATATTCGACAGAGAAATGAAAAATCTATATATGCGTTCGAAAAGTTATTTGGCATTTGTGTTAAAATTTCAGTTTTTTATTCATATTTCAATAACTTTCATGTTTTGGACGAAACTTGTTAGATAATTTCGATTCACTCTATCAGATATTGCATTGTTTTACTTTTTTAACGGTTCGAAAGAAGTATCAATCATAATATTTATTATAAACTTTACATTGAAAGACGTACGTCGTAGTAGTATTTGACATGCTTGCAGTTATGCATGAGTTAGTGAGTATTATGTTGTGCTTTTAGTATTTTCATGCTGTTCGGAAATGGTGTTCTAAATTCAGAAAAATGTTGTTTTTGTATGAAACGAAATGTTTTTGATCTTTATTCAGAATCTTTTATCGTCAAAATTTCAAGTTTTCATTAGAATATATTTCCGTTTAAGCTTCTCCACATCCTCGATCACAAACCGCAATCACATCTACATCCACATCTTCTCGATCGTTGTCACGTATCATGCTATCGAATGGAATCATGATGTCACTATCAGTATGTTTAATTAGTTCATTTTCTTCTGACAAAACTCAATTAAATCAAAATTCTACTCTTTACGCGTGAGTAACTCATTTACGTTCCAAGTCTGTTTCGAGCACCCATTAGTTAAACTATCCAATTAACATACTCATCGTAATCATGCAAAGAAGCTTTAAATTACTAGTAATACCAAGGTGATCTTTCTCGAGTCTTCCAACGCATTGAAACATCTACTAATTAGATCAGAAGTTCTTTTCATATTTCATTTCCTTAGAACACTCTGTGCGACCTCCCTCAGTTGAAATAAAAACAAAAAGTTTGATTGTTTTTCGATTGAGCAGAGTGACATTGATAACTCCATAGTAATTTATTAACATGTCAAAAAACTCAGCAACACAAGTGAAATCATAATGAAAAAGTTAGGCAGCACATCTACTGATGACATTCCAATTCTATGTTTCAATGCTAGTGATAGATTTTAAAATGAAAATAATGGACATAAAGAAAACTCAGAAATACTCAATCGAGATTCATCGTTGGTAAAGAAAGCTTCTAGTCGTATTTCTGCCTTTTCTATATCTTATTCGAAGATACTTCACACTGCTCACATAATATAGTTTAGCCAAAGAAATAGCGTTGTAGAAATGAAATGTTTTCACTAGATGTGCTGTCTACAAATGTGCCAATTTACTGTTAATGTTTACAAGCGATTAAATGCTTAACCTATTCTTCGCCATTGATTAGCGTAATCTCGAATAGCCAAACTAAGCAAATAAATGCTGTCTGGAATTGCATTTGAATACACGTCCATATCATATTTGTTGATCCCAATTAATGATTCAATTCGCAATTGAAATTTTGCTAAGCAACTGCGATTATTTTGATTATCATCATAAAAGAATGTTGTGAGAGAGGCAGGTTCAGTATCCATAGATATAATACTTTCTTTCCATGAAATAGTCCAATGTTGACCTAATATTTGAAAATGTTGTTGAATTTTCCCTTTTCGCCATTTTTTAGTTTCAGGATCACGTGTTTTCAATGTGGCCTGGTATACCGAGCCTTTTTTGGACGAATGACCTTTACCGATCACTTTTTTCGATGGGTAGGCGACTAGTTTAATCGATTGTCCGAAACTGATGGATGACTCAATACGATAGTGAAGATTTTTGCCACTTCGATCGTAGATTGAGAATTCTCTTGCTTTCAACCATTGGAAATAATCCTCTTCAATGACATACTGACGTTCTGGTGTTTGGCTAAAAGCAATATAAGCAAGAGCTAAGATGATTAGTCGAATCATCTTGCATGAGATTGTCAGTAGTATGTTGAAAAGAATGACTGACACACGAGTAATACCAGTGATAAGTAAATGTTTTAGTTAGGTAATAGAAACATATAGTTCGTAAGAAGTGATGCCCTTTATAGATTCTTCATCGCGCATTAGAAATCTATCAGTAGTCATAAGGTTTGAAAAGGCCACACTTGTACATCGTTAAATGTTTACGAGTAAGAAGATAAAATGGTGTAACATGATACCATAAATCTAATTAACTTCTTGTCTCGATATATTTTCTTTTTCAATCCCATGATCATTGAAATACATCAAAAACACTAATATTGATCGATACAATTTCATTCGAGAGGATTATATCGATGTAGACGAAGTGCTCGATCTTCAATGTATGTTTGTTCGACACTGAAATGATCATTCACTCACTCTGATTTGAGCGACTCATAAATTTAATCGAAGATTGTTGTTACAAATTGAACGAATGATTAAGGCAAGTCGAATAACTACTTTACTGTTCTATCGAATTGACAGTTGCATGAAACTATTTCGTCATACATAGAAAAGAAAGCCATTTAAACATTTGCAATTCGGTTTCTATCAATTTTGTCTTCATTAGAACATTCACATTCTATTTTTATTTTCACTTGAATTTTATTTGCAAACGATAACTCACAAGAAAATGAATACAAAAATGTTATAATCGAGCAACTTCTACAATTAGACCATTCATTCTTTCGAAAAGCTTTGGAATTTTTCTTGGTCCTTTGCTTCGCATGGTGGCTCAAGGTGGGCTACTGGTATTGCGTCTAATTAACTCGAAAATATGTCGTTTGCTATTTTTCAGTGCAGATATATGTTCTGCTATGTGAAAAGATACAATTTTCAATTAATATGTGAATGATAATGAATGTGCGTGAGCAGAATTTTGGAATCAATTAGCGTGAGAACAGCTTGTTGAAGGAAGAATGTATAGGAGACATATTTAGGTTCCAGTTTCTGGTACTCCATATGAATCGAACAATCTAGGACAACTCATCATTGATAATTTTTATTTTTATCTAGATTTTATTTCAAAACTGATATGTCAATAAAAATATTTCTTGTCCACTATTTAGTCATATGAAACAGGAAAAAAAGATAATAAACTGCAATGTTTAAATGACATCAATATGGACTACAATAGATCGATATTACATCATATAAAAAAGGAAAAGCAAGTAACATTATTCCATCATGAGCATAGTCCCTCATCGTCGTATGATTTTAAAATAATAATTAAGATATGACTTACTACTTTTCATTTCAATAGATTCATACTTAAAACTATAGTGTTCTTTTTATTAAAGACTCTGGATATGGAAGTAAATGTGATTTTTCTCAATACTCATGCCCACTTTCACCTATCATTTTCATATATAGAAAAATATCACACCTCACAAAAAACCGGAATTTTCCCCGTCATTTCAGAAGACTTTGCAATCCTCATTGAAATTAACAGGAGACAAAGCCGTGTTCTTTTATGGAACACATACAGGGCCAATGATGACGATATGAAAAGCAATTTTGGAAGAACAATTTATTTTAAATTTTGAATAAAATAAATGTATTAAACAGAATTAGAACATGATGTCAGGTCACAAATCAAAAAACATAACTCTTCCACCAGATTCGGCTACAATTAAGCAACGACGTTTTTCATCAATGACAGAAGCATAAGGAGTCCAAATAGTTGAAGCCGATTTCGGGATTGTGTAAGTAGCCATTAGAATACCATTCGGTGAATAATGATTGATTTGGGGTGAAGGATATGTTATTGTGACTAATAGATCAGGATTAGAAGAGGCAGCAGACGGGAAAAGCGTAATGAATGGATTAACAAGGTACGCTTGACCTTGTAATTGTATGACTGCAAGTTGCTTACCATCATTAGTCAATTGATAGATACATGCGCAGTGAATATCGAATATGTAAAGAACTCCGTCATTTCTTACTTTCACATCATAAACATACTCTAATGGTGGTATCGTTTTATAGTTTTGTATTATTGTTCCATTAATCAATAATTTGATCACACGAGCATTACTACTATCGGCAACATACAAATTACCCTGTAAATCTACAGCTATACCATGAGGGTTTCTCAATGGTGGATCAGTTGTATAGATTCTACCTTGCTCAGTACCATTCGGCGAAAAAATATGAATGTAACCGTATGGAACATCAGCATCTGTAACATATATTTGACCTTGATTGTCCTAAGTTAAACCAACTGGAAAACCAAAATGAGGTGTTGGATTAATAATTTGTGTAACATTAGCAGATGAGTTCGTAATCGTTAACTTCTTTAAAATATTGTAGGCTATATCATCAGTTAAGCTATTAACATAAATATCTCCACTATTATGAAGTGCTACTAAACGAGGTGCGATTAGTACTGGATCATTACTAGAATAAACTTGTAAAACCTTTGCTGTTATAACATCGAATAAGACTAATCGTGTATTCAGAGTATCAGATAAAAGTAAATTACCATCAGCTGCAAATGTGAGACCTTGTGGACTGTATAGACTGTTAGTATATGTACGTATCAATGTGCCATTTGGCATTAAAGCAACGATACAGTTAGTAGCCATGTCGGCAACATATACATTTAGATCGGCATCAACTACTACTGCTGTTGGTCGATATATATTACTGTTTATATAAGATTGTAACTGTTTGCCTGTTTGTGAATTGACGAGAAATATTCTGCCAGTCGATGCATCATTCCTGTCAGCAACATATAATCTTTCACCGGTTTCGTCTATAGTTAATGCTGTCGGTTGATTAAGTGGTGGTAAGAAATTTGATGCATTGAATTTATTAACTTGTTGGCCATTTTTATTTAAGACATAAACAGATGTATCTTCGTTGTCTGTCGTTGCTACGTAGATATCACCATTGATAGGCGAAATCGTCAATGCTACGGGAACATAAAGAGCTAAAGAAATATTTTTAATTAGTTGTTCATTAGTTGTCCTATATATGTATATCGTTGCAAAAGAACCATTAGCACCAGTTGCAACATATAAATAACCAACTAAATCTATCGTCAACTTAACTGAAGAATAAGATTTCGATTGCTCAATAGGTAAGATAAGTGTTGATATATAAATAGCTTCCGATGACAAATGTAATATGCGATTAAACGACATATCAGCAATAAATATATGCTGATTGATTGGTGATATAGCAATATCAGTAGGGATCCAATAAGAAAGTAAACGAGACGGATAATGAATATCAATAGTTGCATCGTTATAAACCAAAGGAAAGAATAAAGCAAACAGGGAAAACACGGTAAGAATCAGTAGAACCATTCTATTGGATGCTGGAGATAAAATGCTAATGGGCTCCAATATATAATGCCATTCATCACGGGTAACTTCAGTTATATTATCAAAATCTAAATTATCCAATAAACAGTTTCCTAGAAAAAAAAGTGGCTGTGGATTCAATACACGTCTAACTGAGTCATACCGAGATTAAAAAAAAATGTCGTTGCATTATTTCTGGTTGCCACATACAGAAATAATTATAGTAGTTCTCAATATCGAAGTTTTATCAGTTTAGTCTGTTCTATTGTTTCTATTATGAATGGTTCTTTTTGATGCTTCTCGTTTCAAGCATGGGACTTCAGTTTCTCCCCACAGATTTTTGTCTGAAAGACTGTCTAATATGAAGTTTTTTTTCTTGGAACAAGAGAAGACCATGTGAAAATAGATTTGGATCTGAGAATGACACTCATCATTTAAAAAAATTCAAATTGGTAATTACAAAAACCAATGTAATGTCTAAAAATCAGTTGTCTTCCTGGGCTAATACTGTGACTGGCCATGTTCTTTTTTCAAGAGTGTTCTGAGCGCATTCATCAGTAAGTGTCTATGTTTCGAACCCGATAGAAATCGTTGAAGATAGCTTGTTTAATAGTAATCATAAAAGAATATTATTCATGAAGAAATATCTATCTATCTGCTCAAAGTATAAATGTACGAATAATAAAAATGAGATTCTTTCGAAGCAAAATAGCATCGGTTTTAAAGCTGGGAATTTTGTCCAGATGTATCGCAATAATCCTTTTTTAACTGATATGAAAAGGAAATTATTATTCTCATACATATCCAAGCATAGTTATTCGATTTCAGTGTTCTGCAACATTTAGTTCATCAACATATTGCCGACACAGTCGGCACAATTATTTTTAACACATTCTAGATTAATGCACAGTCGAGAGTAGTTGTCATCCAATAGAGAATCTAATGCATTGGTCTCAAAGCATGGGAACTCCACATTCAAGTGACAGATGTTCGGCAATCATTAGTGCTCGTACATGTTTTGAAACTTTTCATGAAGCTCGCAGATGTTCGAAACTTTAGAATTGTATTGCAAGATACGATACGATAATAGACCTCCTTTATCTGATGCTGTTTCTGGCAATAAATCACATTCTCGTTTCCATTGGAACAAAAATCTTTAATCCTATTACAATGAACATGAAATGGCATTGATTTTCTGGCATGTCAATGTGAAGGCAAATTCTTTTTTATGCCAGTCTTCCACGAATCTTCAATATACTGATGAATAAATGTGCACTCGTCCTTCGAACAACTATTGCAATCGATTTTGGATTGCATCATTTCAATACTCATCGACCACTAGTCTAAATTATTCTCGTTATGAGAATCTAGATCTTTCAAAATATTCACAGGTAGACAAGTCAGTTCTTCCGTCGAACATTTAATGAAGTTTTCCATACGATTTCACTTAGCTGCTCGTTCATGTCTTGTGCACAATTTAGAAGTTTATTACTTATTCTATAAGCTGAACAACATTCTATTGAATCATTTTCTACATCACTTGAATTGTAAAACGTGTGGGTGGGTGAAAGGAGGCTGACACTCACACACGTCCTGAGTGAGCCAAGAAGCAGGAGAATTTTCTGAAAAAGTGAAATAACAAGAAGAACATTTTTCCTATAAAAATTAGTCGCAAAAAAAAGAATTCTGTTTCAGACAACCCGTGTTATGGTTCCTAAACAGAAAGAAACTGTTTTATAGTGCACTTGACACGCTCTTCTATCTGAACAAATTAAAAAGATTTTTGATGAAAAAAACTTTTCGCCAGGAAAACTGGCTTCTAAAAAATGTCTTTAGAGTCGTAGCCACCAGTCTCGTATTAATGTCCGAAATCAGCATGATCGATTACTTATCACTTATTAGCTTTGATGAAAAGAACGATTACACAGTTAGGGGATTTTCTTATTGAGTGCAAGGAACGAACAAATTCTTTAGGTCTATCTTTAAAACAGAGCTGTTCGTATAAATTAAACATTATTTCGTTCGACCTAGCAACTGCCATCAATAATGACCTAGTAGTACACGAATAACATTCACAGATGATCACTATAAACAGTGTGTGATACGTGCTAATCGACATTCAGGTCTTTCATGTACTTGATTCACTGGCCTCCCACTGAGGGTTCATGAAAAAAGAGGAGTAAAGAGGGTCCATTTAAAAATAATAAAAGAGGATTTTGAATAAGAAAGAGGAAAAGTAGAAGGGTCTTATTTCAACCCTCAAAATCATAAAAAAACACTCAACGTGAAAGGAAAACGCCAACATTGCAAAAGTGATCCTTTATTGATCGCTGTTTGGTAGTGGCTTTAAATTTAACGAGTGTTGCAAAAGTTCCTGGAAAAATGTCAGACTGTTGTATTTGAACAGAAGATAATAGAAGGCTAATTCTTTTTTTGCCAGATAGAACTTGGTTTCTACTTTCAAAGCACATATTTCACAGACTTATATTCATACACGAGCAGCAAAATTTATTCTGTTTTTATAAACCTCCTAAAAAGCAGGCCGCAACATTTTTAACAGTAAACACATTGTATGTGTAAACAAACACATGTGCTTGTGAGCTAAAATGACTTCTATGCTGTATGATTGCTCAAAGATCATCTAGAGAAAATTTCAGTTTAAGCAAATTTTTCTTTATCGAGACTCACGTTCTCAAAATTATGTCAGCATATATTGCAAAAATTTCTGTAACAGTAAGTTTTCCAGTTTCAGATATCTAATTAACTTAGGACAAGGAATTGAGTAAGGTTTTTCTGATAGTTTTCTAGCTTGCGAAGAGCTCGATCTGGCGCGGTCGATCTTTCTTAAATTGCTTGTGAAAATGGGTATTTAAGGTGATAAGAATTTGAAACAATTGATACACATAAATTTCCAAAACTGTAAAAATTAGTTTTTCCTCCCAACAATAAATGATAACAATCAAGTTTTTCAATAGGTTGCGTGTGGCAAAAAACTTATATCGTTCTGTATATAACGTGTAAAAAGGTATCTAAAATGTTGCATTTAAGGCAAGTTATTGAACTTTTTTCCGAAGAAATCAATAGCATAATTGTAGAAATTTACAGGACCCTTTTTAACAGTTTTAGAAAAACCGAATTGATTTGTCTACTAATGTATGAATAGAAGTTTTCGAAACATATCCTTTAAGAATAGTAACCACGCTCTATCTAACAAAAAAAGAGTTAGCTTCTTCTCATCTTCTGTTCACATACAATAGTCTGGCATTTTTCCAGGAACTTTTGCAACACCCGTGATATTACGCTATATTGTAATAGAATTATGGATGTCAAACAATCTATCAAAGTTATTATTATCTCTACTACCCGCATTGAATGTTGTAAAAGTCGATTGAAGTTCAATCGATTACTTTTCATCATCTTTAACTGCATTTGTCTGCTTTGTTGCAACCTAGTTCCGTTTTAGTTCTTTTTCTATCTAAGGTAGTTGCATAAAGTATTTTCATAGGGCTAATGTTTTCCCGATGCGAAAAAGAGCACCAAAAAAAAATTGTGTTCACTCTCATACATGAACCTACGACTGCTGGAAAACTTGATCTATACTAAGTTTTTCTATATACACTTTAGAGGTCTGTACAGGCTTACTTTTTGTGGGCCTGGCCTGCTCATGACAGGCTATGTACCTCGTCTGCCTGCCTGCTTAGGCCTGTGTACTTTTTTTGCATACTAATATTAGGATAATAATTTAGTAGAAGTAGAAAACTGTCTTTATAAGAAAACAAGGAAGTTGCTGATATCAAAATAATATGACTAAGCGAAAGATCTATTGATTTAATGAAGTATGCAACTGTTGAGTAAAAACAAAAAGGGAGCTTTCAACATTTAGAAAAAACTGTTTTTGAGTAAAAATCTTTTTACTGAATTTGATGAACTAATTGAAGCGGTCTTATTATGTCCGACTGCACTACGAAAATATAAATATGAATCAGAAACATAGAACTTCATGAATGCTTTATGTAAAATATTAATAACAATCAATTAAAAAGTGTGAACAGTAACCTACCGATGTGGATAAATAAACTAAATAAATAAATGGACAATGAACAACGTAATCATAATTTATTAATAGTTCTGATTGTGCTGAATCAAACTGATGCAAAAAACATAGCTTACATTCTAGAGCAAATATTCTCCATATTATGTTTTGATATCTGTACTTTCTACTCAAAAAATGAAGTTTTTTATTGAGAATTTAGAAAAAACACGACAGGCAGACTGGCTGCTTATTTAAAGCAGCCTGCTTGGCCTGTGACAGGCTTGAAAATCAGAGCCTGTACCTGTCACAGGTTGGTAGGCGCAGGCCGGCAGGTCCAATGGTCTGTTTCGACCTCTGGTACACTTTTATTTTTGATAAAAAAGAGGAGAAGTGGGTGGCCAGCATTTTAATTCTGTGTAAGTGGAACAACTATTTAATGATTTATTGTTTCGAACAAAACCAGGAACTAACGCAGAAACAGAGAAATGCTTCTTAAACAGACAATAAAAAAAACCAGGCTAGGACGAAATAAAAATAGAATAGATTCGGTTCAAATCAAATAAATCTAATTTTCTTTATGAATATGAAAAATAATAATATAATTTAAACGTTCTTGATTCATTATACTGCGTAAATGTTTGTTTTTATTCGATTCATAACATTGAAGAATTCTTCACTGGTTACTGTTGTTACGGAACTTGTCAAGTTAGTTAGTTAGTTAGTTAGACCCGCTACCGTTCCCGGTGTAGGGTGAGAAGTGGAACTTGTCAAATATGATGATAACAATTTATTGTAATCAAAAGAAACAATTTTGATAACTTGTTGCGTATTTCAAGAATAAAATGTGAATTGGTCTTGTAACTACGCGTTATCGGTCTGTAGAAAATGAAAATAAAACAGTAAAAGAAAATTTTTACGTTTAATATAGCCTACTTATTAAGCCTTTATTTGTCCAACCTAGAGTAGCATC